CAGATCTGAAGTGCTGGCGGACGCGGCCTCCGGGGGCGCAAGGCGGCAGCAGCGGTGGCGACCAAACGGGTGTTGGAGTTGGCGGCGGCCATGGAGGGCCTGGCTGGCTATGTGTACAAGGCGGCCAGCGAGGGCAAGGTGCTGACTCTGGCCGCCTTGCTGCTCAACCGGTCTGAGAGCGACATCCGCTACCTGCTTGGCTATGTCAGCCAGCAGGGAGGGCAGCGCTCCACGCCCCTCATCATCGCGGCCCGCAACGGGCACGCGAAGGTGGTGCGCTTGCTGTTAGAGCATTACCGAGTGCAGACCCAGCAGACCGGCACCGTCCGCTTCGACGGGTAGGTACATCCCGGCTCCAGCTTCCCACCAATTCATGGGTCCTCTTCTCCTTCCCTCGCCCTCCATGTGGGTACGCACTCCGTGCAGATTTTTATTTGCCAAGGCGAATGCTCCATTCCACGTTTTGCTGCCCATCCCTGTCTCTTAATTCCTTTTCTGGGCGGGTTCACTAGATTGTGAACCAGCAGGATGGAAGGGCGGCTGCGTTCCCAGGTTTTAGCTTTATCTGTACTGGGCTTCCTAACCGAGATCAGAAATTAACAAGGTCAGCAATTAAAATTGAAGATCCTGTAGAGTTATTTGGACACCTGGCTCTCTGACGTACAAAGCGAGTTGGCTGGTAAATGTTCAGAAGGTTACTGGGGCTTTTAATCAAAATAGGCCCCTAGAACCACCAGCAGCTGTAGCCTTTTGAGGGATTTTCACGAGGCTACTCAAACCTCTCTAGACACGATTGAGTCTTTCCACCTTGCTGGGGGTAGCGCTGGACCTGCTGTAGATGATGATGCCATTGTTAATTACATGTTACACTGTGATGTTGTTAGGAGGCTTGATCATTTACTGTTACTGAAGATGGGGGTTTCAGAAATTGATGTCACAACTTAACATCTGTCCTGAGTTAGTTGTACATATTTTGGGTATGGTAATGAACACAGAATGGTCAGTTTTGACCTTATCCTCTTTTCTGTGCGGAAGGATTATGAAATGTCTTACAGATTATGGCTGATAAAAGGTTTTGCTTCCTGGATTGTATTTGTTTTTCTTTATTCCTACCAATACATAACTATTTTAGCATTTTCTTCTTTTGAAGTAGGTGGGATCCAAATGTAAGACGTATGTTTAGTTTTTGTGCTTCAAAACCACCTGGTTAAAACCTGATTCAAAAAGCATTTCTTCTTAAAAAAAGATGTTAAGGGCAATGTTAAATTTTGGTTGATATAATGAAAGCAATTTATTCTGGTTTAGATGAGTGGAAAATATTTCTGAGTGTTACATTTTAAACGACATGTCAGCCTTGGGTGGTGGCTTCTTTCTAGGACCACTTGTGTAGATATTATATGGTAATCCAGTTCGTGTTTGCTTTCCTTCTCCGGGTGGCTTCTGTGTCCTAACTTCCTGTATTCTCTCAGTCTTACCCGCACCTAGAGAAGGAGTGCTGCGAGTGACCCCTGAGCCTCAGTACCTTTTCAGCTCTACAAGCACCTGTATCTTCTTGATAAGAATGTCTGCAGCAGCAGATGTGGGGAATTAAGGAGCTTGCTGAGGTCTTTGTGGATAAGGGAGAACAGTTGGATTTAAGGCGCGCTGAGGTCTTTGTGGATAAGGGAGAACAGTTGGGAGAGGAAATAGTTTTCTAAAGAATTTAGAATGGCTTTGCTTGCCGCTGACCTCTTGGATCATCAGAGAAAGCTACTTTGAGGTGGTAAAAGAACCTGAGGTGACTAGAATTGAGGTTGTTTAGTGGTTTACCTTGTCCGGTATTTTGTACTGGACAAATGAAGGGATTCAGTGAGCAAACGTTTATTGAACACCTACTGTGTGCTGGATTCTGTGATAGGGATTAGTGTGCAGAGATGAATGACACAGTGTTCCCACAATGGAAGGTGATGAAAGAGAGAGAAGTAGGCACATAAATGAGTAATTGCAGATGCTATGACATTTAAACTCATGGAAATCTTTTGGCCTAGCGAGGGAGGACAGGAGGGGGAATACTCAGCTTTTCATGGGAGAGTCAGGGAAGACTTCACAGAGGAGGTGACATTTGAGCTGAGTTTAAAAGATGATGTGAGAAAGAGGGATATTAGCCTGGTATACTTGCAATGACAAGCATTTCAGTGCTGTCTAAAGAAGAGATTCAAACTGGGGCAATTAAGAGAGAGATTGTGGGGAGACTGGAGAGGGGTGGAGATCAAATTGTGATGGCCCTTGCATAAAATACCAAGATTGAAATTGGTGAACTGCAGTTTCACAATTTCCAACTTTGTGCCTTCTGGAATCTATGTATAATCTGTCTAGCTTATGGATTATTTCAATTATGAATGTATTATGTTAAAGTATTCAGTATTTATTTTATTTATTAAATGCCTGTCGGAGTCCTAACCCTGTGTCACATTCTATGAGTGTACAGAAGAAATGTAAGGTTTCTACTTTTGAGTTTACCAATTAATAAAAGAGAAGAATTAAATTTGTGGGCACCTTGCTGCCTACTCACACCAGAATGTGAGATTATATTGCTGTTTATCCCAGTCAGTTTGGCATTTAAAACCAGAAAAACAGTTACTAGCAAATGTGATGGTTTCTCTTTGCCCTCATTGCAGACACTGTGACAGTGTGGGCCTGAGCGGTATTAACAGTATGACTCTCACTCATCCCTTGGGGGCTGCTTTTTGTTTTGTGCTGCTGGGAATGGAACCCAGGGCCTCCAGCACCTGAGGCAAGTGCTCCCCACTGACCCACCTCCCCAGCCTTGGAGTGGCCTTGAAGTACTTAGTTGGTCCCTCTAGGGTAGATTCATTAGTGTTTGAGACCTGTGGCCAGGTGGGGGTGACAAATTGTTCTTCTGTGCTGAGGTAGATTAATATTTCTAATTTTTAGTTATTTGCATACCATCATTTCAAGTTTTGGCCAAATTAATCATCATCTTGTTAATATTTTTATTTAAAATGTCTCTGATGTACTTGACATTTGTCTTTTTAGAATGTCTTTTTAGCTTCATCTCATACAAGTGTATCTGTGTAATTATTTGATGTGTGACTTTTTTGTGTGTATAAGAGAGATTACATAAAAATAGCCACTGTTTTAAAATAGATTTGGGGGTGGGAGGACCTGGGGATCAAACCCAGGGCCTCACACATGCTGGACAAGCACTCTACCACTGAGGTACACCCCAGCCCTTAAAATAATTTTTAAAGAAAAATCTGTGTTTCATCTAAAAACTTTGAGTACCTTAGGAAACTCAATTCAAAGTAGAATCTCAAGAAAGAAACCACTGCCTGGATTAAGCACCGTGTTGATAATTTGAGTCCTTCACATTTTTTAGAAGCAATATTTGAGATTATTTTCCTTATGGCTTAACTTGCACACCAAAATTGACAGGTAAGTGGACAAGAAAATCACATGAGTGGGGAATGAAAGAATGTTTGGTTGGAGAACAGGCAGTTGCTCAGTGTTGTGGAAATGGCAGAGAACAAAGAGGAGGCGTCCTGCAGCCTGGAATGCTGAGCAGGTGTGGGTTGTAAGGGCCTGGCTGCTGTGTGCAGATGTTGCTGGGATTGCCTGTCCTACAGAGGTTTGCTGCTGTGACTGGGGGAGCGCAGCACTGGTGCAAATACCCAGGCTTGAGCCCCTCCTCTTCAGTGTTGGTGCTAGTGCACAAGGGCCCAGGTAGAGGAAGAGGACCATAATTTGGAAGGCCTTTGACGGAGCTGTACTTTGAGAAGTCATTTCTGTAGTTTGTTACTAGCGAGTCACTGGAAATATGTATTTCAAGGAACTACATTTGAGCCAGTAAATGATTTTAAGGAATTTGGTGAAAGTACTGGTTTTATATATTAAAAATTTTTATTTCCATTTCAAATGCTTGATCCAGGTGTTTCTATTTCAAATTGAATCAGGAAATTGATTAATTTAGCCTTGTGATAAGAAATGTCTCTCTCTCTCACTCATTCTTGGTCCTTTTTTTTTTTTTTTTTTTTTTTTTTTTTTGTGGCAGGGTCTTGCTAAATATTCTAGGCAAGTCTTGAACTCTAGATCCTTCTGCTTCAGCCTTCCAAGTACTGGGATCCCAGGTGTGCACCATCCTACCTGGCACTTGCTCCCCACTCTCTGTGTACTAGGGATTGAACACAGGACACAGGCCCTCATATATGATTGTCAAGTGTGTACCACTGGGCTACATCGCCAACCCTTTTTATTTTGAGACAGGGTCTGTGTTGCCCATGTTGTCCTTGAACTTGGATCCTCCTGCCTCATCCTCATAGGAACTGAGGTACACTTAGGTAGCTGGATTGCAAGCATGAGAAATGTCTCTCATTGTGAAAACTTTCTGTGATCTGATGCATACTTATTGTTTGACAAGGTTAATATCACATTACAGTTTTTAAAATTATGAAACATAATAGAGAATTTGCATTACAATGTGGACTGACACTAGAAAAGTCATTGTTTTTTTTGTTTTTTGTTATAAATGATCTATTTTATTAGTTGCTAATATTTTATTATATCTTTTTTTTTTATTGAGTTTATTGGTACATTTAGGGATACAGTACAGTTACATTCATTGTTGGGATCATGTACCTTTACATGGCAAGTCTTGATTCTCATTTTTATCATCTTTTCATTCTCTCACATTGTTTTCTTTTCCCTTTTTGTTCTTCCCCTACGTATCACACCTTCCCTACACCTTTAAAGTCATTGTTTTATATCGTGTTTCTTTCATAGGACTTAGTAAATATTGCAGTAAGTTCATTATATCTTTAAATGCATTTGGTATTTTGTTTTGAAGCGATGTAAGTTTAGCTAGATTTTATAGGCAGGAATGTGACAGATAAGTTTATGAATTACCCAGTCTGACCTTAAACTTGTGATTGTCCTGCTTCAGCATCTCGAGTAGCTGGAATTACAGGTGTGCACTGCCGTGACTGGCAGGTAATTATAACTTTTATGAGGATTCTGTCATCAAAGGGAAATAATGGAACTTGTTGGACTATACCAAGAAAAATATTAAAATGACCAAATAGTTTCTGGTATAAAAATCCAATGAAGGGACTAGGGGTGTAGCTCAGTGATAGAGCGCTTGCCTGGCATGCATGAGGCCGTGATTCAGTCCAAGTGAAGTACATATTTGTAATTAATTTTCATTTTTATAACATAGATTTCCAAAGTTTGAGGTCAGAAATACATTCCAACTTTTGTCTCCATTTTCATCTTTAAAAGGGTTGGTTATACTTTAATTACTAATGTGTATAAGTACCTATTTAAGGTAACATTTCTGAAGTTTTAGGTAGTCTGGATTCATATTATACAATGTGAATATTTTTATATTTTAAAAACCAGTGCAAAGAAACATTGTTATTAACCATGTAACTATAACCATATATTGCCTGTGTATTTGTTTATTTGGTAGATGACCTTAGTAATCAGTTTGAAAAAATACACTTTAAATGGAAATAAATCTTTGAACCATAACATCGTGCTTACTTCATTTGATGCAGTTTATGGTACTTGGAGTACTTTTGTATATCTGAGCTCCTTTAGACCTCTTAGCTCTGTGCTGTAAAATAGTAGTAGTATCCGCTTAGTAGATGTTTTGGTGTGAGGTTGTTTTGAGGATTAAATGAGATATATTACATACTAAGCAGTTATTGTGGTGCTTGACACATCTAAGGTATTTGATATAAATTATTTGTATTTATTTAAACTTCTCTTTAAAGTCATTTGTGCCTCTTTTGCTTTTAATTACATATTTTAGATATGTCTAGTAAAGCACATGAATCTAAAGTGAACATCTTTGTGATAGCTTTCTAGTTCAAAGTCTAAATTATTCTAATCACCCCAAATTTCCCCGTGTCCCTTCTCTCAGTCATTCCCCTCCTCCCCCAGTATGATTGTTTGGACTTCTGTTACCACAGATTATTCTCCCTGTACTTGAACTTCCTATGAATGAAATTAGACAGTTTATTCTTGTGTGTTTGCCTGGTTTTTCTGCATGACCCATTATCCATGAGATTTAGCATGTAGTTTCATCAATAATTTCTTGTTTTAATGCTGTGTAGTGTCCATTTTTCTTTTAATGAGTATTTGGTTTTCAGTGTTTGACTTATGCAAACCCTGGGAACATCCTTGTGTATGTCTTGGTGAGCGTTTGCAGTAATTTCCCTTTGGTGTCTCAGGGAGTCTTGAAGTAGACATGGAGGTAACTCACAGCCACACAGCTTGCCCACAGCTTGAGCCAGCTACGTTCCTTCCCGCAGTTTCCTCCAGCAGTGAGTTTCAGTTGCTCACATCCTGGTCCACGCTTAGCATTGTCCTTTCAGTCTTCATTTCATTCACTCTCACGGGTGTTATTGGTCACTGTTGGTTTCAGTTTGGATTTTCTGGTGAGAAATTCTTTTGAATGTTTTTGTATATTGGCCATTACGGTATTTTGTGAGGTATACTTGTCAGTTCTTTAAGCCATTTCTTAAAAATAGTTTGCCTGATTTGATTTGTCACATATGTTTATTGCAGGTGTCTTCTCCCAGTGGGAGGATTGCTTACTCTGTTTCAGAATATAGTAATGTCTTTTGATAATTAAAAGTTCTTAATTTTACTGAAGTGTAATAAGTCATTGAGTCTTTTTTTCTTTTGTGATGTTTTTAAAATTTTGTTTAAGAATATATATTTAGTTGCTTCAGCATTATTTGTTAAAAAAACCTCTTTACTGGAATTTCACCAGAGCTTTGTCACAAACCCAGTGACTATGTGTGAGTCTGTTTCTGAAGGTTTTTTTTTTCTGTTGATATATTGTTTTGTCCTTGTACCAGTGCACTTGTCTTAATTATCTTGTTCTCAAACTTTATTTTTTTCCTCAAGATTATCTTGGTTGCATTTCCATATACTTTTTGGAATTGCCCGTTCACTTTCTATACCCATGTGCATGTGACACACACAACTTGCTGGGATTTTGATTTGAAATCTATCAAATATGTAGGTGATTTTTGTGAAGAATTTAAATCTGAACACTATTAAGTCTGTTAAACTATGAATCCAGATTACTTCTCCATTTATTTAGGTTTTCTTCTATTTACCTGAGTACTGTTTTGTAATTTCTAGTGTGTAAGTCTTGTACATTTTTCATTGGTTTATTACTAGATATTGATATTTTTCTGATGCTGTTGCAAATGGTATTTTTTGGACAGTGAAATACTTTTTATTGAGCTCCATATGTAATCATGACAAAAATGTAACAAATTTTAATTAAACTGGACTGTTGCAAAAGTCTAGTTAGAACTATTAAAGCATATCACTGCCATAATATGTTACCTTACTACTGCTGGATAATTGAATCCAGGGCCTAATAGGCAAGCACTCTCCCACTGAGCTACATCCCCAGGTGTAGTGATTCTTCATTAAAAAACAAAAACAAAGCCTAAACAATTAAGTAAAGCTTTTTTTTTTTGGTGGTGTTGGGGATTGAATTCAGGGCTTTGTGCACTGAGCCAGATCCTACCCCAAATTTCATTTAAAAAAATTTAAAAGAAACTTCAGAAAGCTTCTGTTTTTTTGGAGGAATATTTTATGTACAGGAAAATGCACAGACTCTTAAGTGTTCAGATTGGTGAACATTTTTCCCTAATCTCCATCTATGAGGTTGCCACCTAGATAAAGGAATTTCTAGTATTGTCAAGCCCTGCCTCTCATTATGCAGTTGAGACTGACCTGGAACTCACTATGTATCCCAGGCTGGTCTCGAACTCACAGCCATCCTCTTGCCTCAGCCTCCGGGATTACAGGTGTGCGCCACTGCCCCATGCTTCCCAGCCCTTTCTTAATTTTATTTTGAGGCAGGTTTTCACTGATTGCTGAGTTGCCCAGGCAGAGCTTGGACTTGCCATCCTCCTGTCTCAGCCTCCCAGAGTACTGGCATTACAGGCATGTGCCACCATGCCTGGCTTCAGGCCTCTTTTGAGTTAGTGTTACCCCCTTATAGTTGGTTACTAAGGAGGCGTTTGCTTAGAAACATTGTGTCATTTTTTTGAAACTTAAGAAGTAATTGCCTGATTTGTTATAAAGTAGTTTATTTGTAGCAAAAGTGATGATGGGTGGCTTTTTGTGGTGTTAACTAGGAATGAACCATAATATTTATATTTTTTAGTCCATTTTGTGCTGCTATAACAAAATAAGCAAGGCTTGGGGATTTATAAAGAATGACTATTTATTTCTCACTGTCTGGAGGCTAGAAGGTCCAGGACCAAGGTGCCAGCAGGTTCACTTTCTGGAGAGGGCTGCTTCTTCCTGAGGGGAGGAGAGTGTCGCTGCCTCTGTGAGGATGGAGGAGCCCCAGGCCCCAGCCCCAGGGCACTTTGCAAAGGCCCCTTCCCCTGATGCCATCGCATTGGAAGCATCTGGATGTGGGAGGCACCATCCCAGAAACTACTCTTTTTTGTTTGTTTGTTTGTTTGTTTTTGTTTTTTGAAACAGGGTCTCACTATGTAGTTGAGACTGACTTGGAACTCACTATATAGCCCAGGCTGGTCTCGAACTCACAGAGATCCTCCTGCTTCAGCCTCCTGAGTGCTGGGATTATAGGTGTGTGCCACCACGCCCGGCTAGAAACTACTCTTTTTTGCTTCATGGGAGATAAAATTTGACCAAGCCACAGTGTAAGTCCTTAGAGCGAGGAGCTCACTAGTAAGATTTTTGGCTGCTCTAGTGAGTGATGCTTTGACTTCCCTTTAACATTTCCGCATATACTTACTGGTTCTGGCACAGTGGATCTGAATGTTCAACAAATGTCTATTTTTTTGGTCTTAGGGTCAGTACAGTAGTAGGATTAAATTGGGGAAATGAGATGGGCGAAAATTAAAAGTGGAAAGTTGGAAAAGATTGACTTCCTAGCAAGAGACTAATTTTGTGTGTTAAGTAGCAAACATAGCACATGCAAGATACTCAGAAAGCACGTGATAAATTTGAAGCCACAAAATCCAGTCGTGTCGGGGAAGATACCTGTTTGGTTTTTCCAAAAAACTAGATTTTTCCTGCTGTTAATATTTTTTCCCCATAGTAGTTTGCTTGAGGAATGCATAGATACACATGGTATACAAATACACATGTACACATACATATTTTAAAACTTTTAACTTGGGGTATAACATACTCAGAAAAATGCATTCATTGTAAGTGTGTAAAGTTTCACCAGGTGGTCATTGAGTTGATGAAGTCGCTGACTGAGCGCCACCCCAAAGGCAGTGGTATCTTGACATCTAACACCACAGCCTCCTCCGGGGTAACTGGTACCTTTGTGCTAACCCTGCAAACAGGTAACTAAATGCCATGTTACAGGTGCTGGATTCCCCTGGCTGCTTTTGCTCAGTGTTGTTTATGTGGTCGATCTGTATTGTATGGAACAATAACTTGCACTGTCATTGCTATAGTAGAGCAAGTATAATTTTGATTTGCTTAGGAAATCTTAGGGGAAGCTGATCTGCTTCATTGTTTTTTCTTAAAGCACAATCTAACACAGTGTAAATGTAGAGATCGGAGTTGCTTTCCAGATTGAGAGAAACTGCTGCCTGGAGGCTTGTGAGGAGGCTGGGGGCGGAATGGGCTGCAGTTTTAGAGCACTCTCACCTTAGTAGCAAGGATGTTATAACCTTCACCCTGTTTTTTGAAATTTTACTGTTGCTACTAAAAAAGTGATTGTTTTAGTTTTTAAAAAATATGTACTTTGGAAATAACAGTGATAATGATTTATTTATTATGCTCATAGTAAGTACAAGTACTATGCAGAGTGCTTTGCTGAAGTCACTTGTTTTTGTTTTCACTGAAACTGATGTTTTGTTAGTGTTCTGGAGAGCGAGGTCTGTCTGTGCAGATGAACACACCCTTACACTGAAGTTGGGGTGCATGGCCTCTTTGTCTAACTGTGTTCTTTTCACGTGTAGGTATGTCATTGATGGTGCCACTGCTCTTTGGTGTGCTGCAGGAGCAGGACATTTTGAAGTTGTTAAACTTCTGGTCAGCCATGGAGCCAACGTGAACCATACCACAGTGACTAACTCCACCCCTCTGCGTGCAGCATGCTTTGACGGCAGACTGGACATTGTGAAATACTTGGTAGAGAATAATGCCAACATCAGCATTGCCAACAAGTATGACAACACCTGCCTAATGATTGCAGCCTATAAGGGACACACTGACGTGGTCCGATACCTTCTAGAGCAGCGAGCTGATCCCAATGCAAAAGCACATTGTGGAGCCACGGCGTTGCACTTTGCAGCGGAGGCCGGGCACATAGATATTGTGAAAGAGCTGATCAAATGGCGAGCGGCGATAGTAGTGAATGGCCATGGGATGACACCGTTGAAGGTAGCTGCCGAAAGCTGTAAAGCTGATGTCGTGGAACTGTTGCTCTCTCATGCTGACTGTGACCGAAGAAGTCGGATCGAAGCTTTGGAACTCCTGGGTGCCTCCTTTGCAAATGACCGCGAGAACTATGACATCATGAAGACCTACCACTATTTATACTTAGCCATGTTGGAGCGGTTTCAAGATGGTGATAACATTCTTGAAAAAGAGGTTCTCCCACCAATCCATGCCTACGGGAATAGAACTGAATGTAGAAACCCTCAGGAACTGGAGTCTATTCGGCAGGACAGAGATGCTCTTCACATGGAAGGCCTTATAGTTCGGGAACGGATTTTAGGTGCTGACAACATTGATGTTTCCCATCCCATCATTTACAGGGGCGCTGTTTATGCGGATAACATGGAATTTGAGCAGTGTATCAAGTTGTGGCTTCATGCCCTGCACCTCAGGCAGAAAGGCAACAGAAATACCCACAAGGATCTTCTGCGATTTGCTCAAGTTTTCTCACAGATGATACATTTGAATGAAACTGTGAAGGCCCCGGACATAGAGTGTGTCTTGCGGTGCAGCGTCTTGGAAATAGAACAGAGTATGAACAGGGTAAAAAATATCTCTGATGCTGATGTCCACAGTGCCATGGACAATTATGAATGTAATCTCTACACCTTTCTGTATTTAGTGTGCATTTCTACCAAAACACAGTGCAGTGAGGAAGATCAGTGCAAAATTAACAAGCAGATCTATAACCTGATCCACCTGGACCCCAGAACTCGTGAAGGTTTCACCTTGCTGCATCTAGCTGTCAACTCTAACACCCCTGTGGATGATTTCCACACCAACGATGTCTGCAGCTTCCCAAATGCACTGGTCACCAAGCTCCTTTTGGACTGTGGTGCAGAGGTAAACGCTGTGGACAACGAGGGCAACAGTGCCCTGCATATCATTGTCCAGTACAACAGGCCCATCAGTGATTTTTTGACCTTGCACTCTATCATCATCAGCCTGGTGGAAGCGGGCGCGCACACGGACATGACAAATAAGCAGAACAAGACTCCGCTGGACAAAAGTACAACCGGGGTATCGGAAATACTGCTTAAAACTCAAATGAAGATGAGTCTCAAGTGCCTGGCTGCCCGAGCAGTTCGGGCTAATGACATTAACTACCAAGACCAGATCCCCAGAACTCTTGAAGAGTTTGTTGGATTTCATTAAGTGACTGGCTATGTAAAATCGTTTAATGTGGTGCTAAAAAGTAAAGGACTTTAATCACAGACAATAGAATTATGTGTTCATAAGTTGTGCTTTGCTTTCTACCCTCCTTCCTTTCAACCCACCCTCCCCTTGTTCTGTCTTTGGTCTTCTTGCCTTATAAGGTGATTGATTTCAGACACACTTTAAACCAAGCTACATTGTCAAGGAGTAACTATAATCTAAGGGGTTTGGCTGTCGGTTTCTTATTTGTCTTTTTTTAAAAGAAACAAATATACAGTACTTTGTTTATGTAATAAGGGATGTTTATGATTTCAAGTTTATACTGTTTTAACAGCTGCCTACAAGTCTTTCTGTTAAGTCTATGTCAGTAGTTTTCCACGCAGCAGTTTGAGGATTGCATGATGAAAAAGAACCAAAAAGGAACCCTGAAAGCAATGGGAGGTCCAGGTGTTGTGCACATGTACTGTAGTCTTCACTCTTCTGTCATGTATGTGAGGGAGGTGACACATTCTGACAGCAGGAGGACTTAAAAAATATAGCCACACGATAACCTGAAAAAAGTGCTAGTTTAATAATACCTGCAGATTTAGAAAATTGAATCCATTGCATCGTGCTGAGTACTGTGTTCAAAGTGATAATTCTCAGAGAAGTTTGAGGGGCTCTGCCTTTAGGCTTGAATTTTCTGGAGTCTGTTCTAATGTACTTAGTCTAAGTTGCATCCAGCTGCATTTGATTCACCTCATAGACATTATGAATGCTGTGTTTCCTTATGACATAAATTATCACCATATAGTCATGTATTCTCTTTCAGTGCCCCCTTCTCCATTTCCTCATGTGTTAAATCTTAAAATTTGGATACTGCTTTTCCAGAGGGCATTGTGCTTCCCTAATGTGTTTATGATTGATGAAAAGGAGCCAGGATATTTTTAAATGTGTACACTTTTTAGTCCATTATAAGAGGTAGAAAAATCACTAGTCTGGTGTGTATACAAAATTTGAATGTTTTTGATGATGAAAACAATTCTCAATGCCACTTGAAAGGTATTTTGATGGAGCTGCAGAATTTTCTACCACAAAATGTCAGTTATTTTGACAGGCTGTACAGAGGTCTTTGTTTTCTTGTTTTAACAGTTAACATTTCAAACTATCTAAAAGAGCATTCTGTGATTAAAGTGTAGTAGGAATTCAAACAAAAGGTACTCACCTATTTCTATTGATGTTAAAAATGATAATGAAAGTAAAGTTAGCTGTCTCTCTAATTTTCTCTCTAGTGCCAAACGAATGCCTTAGCTACTCATAGTGCATGGTACTGTAAGTGAAGACCTGCAGCTTTTTTTGTTTAATGAAAAGCATTCTAATGATGTAGCAGCATCAAGTATAAACTTTAAAACATAAGATTTTAATTACCATTTCACATATGGATATCACTTTGTGAAATATAAGAGAAAGGTTGCAGTTGGATCAGTGTTAAAACAATGACCAAGCCAAAATCCGCACCTAGGGCCTTAAATAGAGATAACCCCATGAGATGAAATGCTTTTTTGTAGGGTGGAAGGGGAGACTTTAAAAACTTCCTCCCCAGGGATGTATGATACAGTTGCTGTTTTTCTACTGTGCTTCTTCTTGCTTCAGCTAGGAATGTTTTGATGGTAAATCCTGTCATGGTAATAAATTTCTGTTTGCCCAACCTGAGATTTTAAGAGGAAGGTTTTCAGGATGGCCTAAAGGGAGGCATTAAAATGAGCCCTGGCTGGGTGTGGTGGAACATGCCTGTAATCACAGCACCTGGGAGGCTGAGGCAGAAGGATCCCTGTGAGTTTGAGGCCAGCCTGGGCTACATAGTGACTTCAAGGCCAGCCTGAATTACATAGTGGGACCCTGTCTCAAAAACAAAAAAACAAGAACAACAACAACCAAAAAACCCTAATCTGGATTATTAACTGACCTTGATCTTCCTGGTGTGAATTGAGGAAATACTGTACCTTTTTCTCTGCATCTACTAGAAAATGCACTTCCCAAAGGTCGGTGAACCATGGCTTTCACAGCTCAGGTCAGACTTTATTTTCATACTACTAGGCCTGCATATTTTGACAGTCTGAGGAATGGCTTGATACTTGGTATTCAGTTGGTTCCATTTTTAATGTATATGATTTTTAAACACTCAAATTATCAGATCATGCATGTTTTAATAACACATTTCATTCCCTTGGCTGCCATGGCCAGCACTATTTTAGACATTACTCATTTATAAAATGAGTATAATTATATGTATATTTACAAACATCAATTTAATGACAGTTTAGAAGGGAAGACTGAAAGCTGGAGAAAGTAAATCCTGCTGGTTGAAATACTGACAAAGTTGGAGAAAGTGTGAAGACAGCAGAATAAACTATGAACTGTGCTAATGGTAACTGGATTAAAAAAAAGCTATAGTATAGTAGTATATTGTGCCCTGTCTTGCTAAGGATTTAATTCTCTTGTAGTATCAATCCAGATACCCATTATGAAAGATAAAGCCATTCTTAAAACAGTTGACCTACACGCCTGTTTTTTACATTTTTTAATAGAATTATTTAAAAATGTTTAGCCAAATCCTTCAAAAACAATTTTTTAAAGGAAAATAAATAGCTAAGAAAGGTGATATAGTTCTGCATCTCAGCTCACTGAGAATGCCAAGCTGTCTTCATCTTGTAGCCCTTTTTACCTTTGATGTTTATTACTGGTAGAATTATGCTTTGCATTGTAACTCTTCCTTGATAGTGTTACAGATTTGCTCAACACTTCTCTGTCCTGCTTGGGAATTGTCATGTAAATCTGGAGTAACTACAGACTCTGGTGGATGCTTTCATTTACAAATCCTGTGAAACTGGGTTTTTTGCTTTTAATGGAGTTGAAATTGAATTAGCGTTTACATAAGTCAAGGAGTGGGCAGTAGATCCATCCCTCAGTTGCCACAGTTGAGGCAGCAACTCTGAATAAGACTACTTTAGACTATTCAAGCAGGAGCATTTCTTTATTTTTATTTTAGAATTGGGCGGCATGAGGAGTGAGTTGCTGGACCGTGGGTTACAGTCTGCTGGTGCAGAAGCAGCCTGACTAGTGAGTAGAGCATGAAAGTGAAGGCCTGCCTCTTATGGTAGATTTTCTGTAAGACAGAGATGTTCCTTTTCAGGCCAGACAGCTATGTGAGTGCACAGATGAATACTGTTTCTCACTGACCATACTGTAATGTTAAAAGGGAGTAAAGAACACAGAACTCTGCCTTTTGCTGTATTAAAATATTTAGTCCGAAAGATTTTAAGCTGTGTTCATTGGTACTCCGAAAATGCGCAGGTGTTTGTTCTGCAGATCATCTTGAGAGCAGTGAGCGCCTCATCATCTGTGTCACCACTGCAAGGCTCTCTGAGACCCTTGTTGGAGGCTCCCCCAAACCTTCAGGTGGCCCAGGTTGTACTGTGTCCCCTCCCCCAGATATAGGACCAGAAACAAGTACTGCTCTGATAGTGGTGGTAGGTTCATTTTTAGCACTGTAAAGTAAAAGTGGTCTGGTCCTAGGTGTGTGGAGTGTACCTTTGTGTTGCTGTACAGGGCAAGGACGGTGACTTGATGGTTTTGGGCATATCTTTCTGTGTGTGCAGGGGTGAATGTTGTTAAATTACAGCTCCTCTAGGGGTGAGTCATGTGACGCACGGCCTAAGCAGAACAATGAAGGAGTGGTGATGCAAGATCGCCAACTGGCGCAGTGAACAGGTTTTTGTATCTATTCTTTATCAGGTGTTGTAAAATTTGTGCATGGCCTTTTTGTGGTTGCTTAGTAATTGGTAGAGGAGAAGAGAGGGGAAAATGCCTTGGCTTTCCTAACCAATCTTTTCAGAGGTACATGGTGGGGGAATAAAACCTGACTGGCTGAACCCATTGCAAAGATCCTGCCCTTTATACTATTCACCCCATTCGGCAGACCTCCATGTAGAGGAGCTAGCTACCTTGTTGTATTCTAGTAATTCACTGTGATCTATAACAAGCCAGTGATGTCATTCTGTCGTGCACTTTTGTCAAACCATTTATGTGACTTTAATAAACATAGTAAACTTGCTGATTACACCAGAGGTCTCTTAGTGATTTTATATATTGCATGCATGGCATTTCTATTTGAGTTTGACATGTAGAGTCATTTTTAATTTCATGGCAATCGACAGTCCTCATAGCTCAGCTAATTTGAAACTAATGATCTTACTTTGTAAAAGGAAAAATGGTGTTTGTGTTCAGTAAATGTTTGAAAAAAAAAGCCTACTTGGAAGTTTGTGTCTTTTTTATTCAGTGGGAGATGATCTTTTCTGGAGTTCATTTTTTTAAAAAAAGTGGCTGAAGTTATACATGTGTTTGGAAAAAATTCAGATATTATATCCAAACAGTAAAAAGAGAAGTTCTATTCCTATTTCTCTCCATTTTCCACTTGGATCTGCAGAGGCAACCACCATTAACACTTCAAAAAGTAGCTTCCCGGAATTTTTTGGTACGTATATGTATTTTTCTGGAAATGAATTTTATCCTTTTTATCAATTACTTTAAATTATATACAGTATATAGGTTTCTTATTTTTGTTTTAAATTATCTATTTATTTTGTGTGTGGGAATTGAACCCAGTACCTATGTATGCTAGGCCATATTGCTGGTCCTCCATAGGTTTTTTTAAAAAAATAACTATAGGGCTGGGAATTTAGCTCAGTGTTTCTGCCGCCTGCTTTACAAGAATAAGGATCCAAGTTTGATCCCAGGTACCATAAAAACAAACTATAGCATTTAATTCTATGATGGATTTAAAACTTACTTAACTAGATTGCATTGATAGACCTTTGAATTTTCAGGGTTTGGTTTGGTTGTGTTGCTGGGCCCCAGCCTTCACATTGAGCTGTATCCCCAGCTGTGTCAATTTTAATTTTGAGTCAGGGTTTCAGTGTGTTGCCTGGGCCTGGCCTGCTTCCTCAGCCTCCAGGCCTGGGGTATGGGCATGTGCCTGCACACCTGGCTGGGCTTTCAGTGTTTGCTATTCCAAGTAACCCTGTGGTGCACATCCTTATGTAGACTTTGTTCAACAAATTCATTCGTAGCACTGGAAGTTTTGGTTAAGGACTGTATTCAAAGTACTGAAGCGGTTATTCAATTACTTTTCAACTCCCTGTACCTTTCCTGATATCATATAATTACCTCATTATTTAGTTTTTGCCATGGTAATGGAAAACTAATAGTTTGTAATTTTGGTTGTGTTCCTTTGTCATGAATAAGGTTGAATGCTTTCATATATTAATTTTGTATTTCCTTTGTTTGCATTTGACTTGTGGTCTTTTTCTTACTGTTAGAAATCCTGTGGAAGTTTGAGGAAACTTTCTGGTTTTGTTTTTACTTCAAATATGGTAATTTTGTGTCAGATTTATCGATCCATTGATCAGGGCTTTGACCTGATCTACATCCCCAGTCTTTCTTTTTACTTTTTATTTTGAGCTAGGTTCTTTCAAAATTGTCCAGGCTTGAGCCGGGTGTGGTGGTGCACACCTGTAATCCCAGCACTCGGGAGGCTGAGGCAGGAGGACCACTGTAAGTTCGAGACCAGCCTGGGCTACACAGTGAGTTCCAGAGCAGTCTGAACTACATAGTGAGACCCTGTCTCAAACCTCCCCCGCAAAAAAAATTGTCCAGGCTGGCCTTGCATTTGTGATACTCTTGCCTCAGCCACATGCGTAGCTGAGATTACAGAAGAAATTTAACATTTTTATGTAGTCAATTTTATAATTTTTACATGGATTCTGAGTTTTGTATCCTGTTTGTCAGGCTGTCTTTATTCCAAGAGCATAGCATCTTTTTTTTTAACCTCTATTTTCTCTGAAATGAAGCTTTCATGGCTTCTCTTACCCCTTTCCTCCCCTTCATTGTTTTAATTTTTTTGTTTGTTTGTTTGTTTTGTTTTTGGTACTGGGGATTGAATTTGGGACTTTGTGCTTGTGAGGCATGCGGCAGAACCACTGAGCTAAATCCCCAGCCCTGTTTTAATTTTTACAGGAATTTACTCTGATGAAGATATTCAGCTAGTTAGCGACCTCTTAATTATTTCCTGTTGATTTTAATTATAAACGAAATCCTCATAACGTAGTTGGATCTCTTTCTGGATTCCCTAGTTTGTTGATCTGGAAGCGTGGAGCTCTGAGGAATGATGTTTGATATCAGGTTCTGGTTCTGCCACTTTGTAGCTCTGTGATGTTGGGCAAGTCACTTCTCAAAGCCTTAGTCTCTGTAAATGCAGGCGATAGTACTGTGTAACTTGGACTTTTCGATGAGCAGATGCGATAATTAAAATGCACAGCATGGTGCCTGACTTACACGGAGGTGCCTGGGAAATGTTAGGTGTTCCCTGTTGGGCTTACAATTCTTCATTTATCCTTTTTTTGGGAGGAAAGGCAATCTTTTTCATTATTGTATATATTCTTTTCCCTATAAACTTTGGTGTCATTATGTTAAGAGATTATTTTATTTAGCATTAAATCAGGGGATTAATTTAGGGAGACCTGGCACCTCTCCAGTTGAGCATTGTTATCCAAAAGACAGCTATCTCCATTTAGTTGTCTTTTATTTCTCTGTTCAGAGATTTTTAAGTTTTTAAAAAATTTTAATTTTGTGATGCTGGGAATCACAGGGCCTTTGCATATAGCTATATCCCTGACACTTTTTAAAATTTTTTATTTTGAGACAGGGTCCCTTCTAAGTCACTACATTGCCCAGGCTGGGTTTGAACTTGCGATTCTCCTTACTCTGCTTTCCAGAGTGCTGGGGGCCACCATACTGGCTGTGAGGTGTTTTCCATTATTTCCCATTGTATGATTACATGTATCTTGCATTTATCATAATTAGTTTTCTTTTATGCTTTTACATTTTAGATGTTTTTATAAAGCACCTTAATGGATTTCCCTTTAAAAAACTTTTTTTTTAAGTTGCTGCTTCTGGATGTCCCTAGGTAACACTGTCATTTGCAGGTAATAATGTTGCCTTCTCATTTCTTGTATCCAGAGCTCCTATTTCTTTTACCTAATCCCAGTGGTTAAAATTGCCAGGAGAGTAAAGATGCTGGGTGCTGTTGGAGCCCATGCTTGGCACGTGCTTGTTTTCGGATTCAGGTACAGGATGGCCGTTCCATGTAGTGATCCACAGGAGTGTAGAGTGTAACCCTGTCCTGTTTTAGCTGAGCATGCTGTGTAGACAGAAGTGCTGTGCCTCCAAGGTCACACAAAGACTGTCAGGGCATTGTTGTCCCCGTGCTCAGTCTCTGATGGGTTACTGCTGCCCTGCAGGGACATCCAGACAGGCTTTCATGCGTGCATTTTCTGTATTTCAAGCAGTGTCTGTTGTATTAAAGTAACATGACCAGGCTATTGACAGTCGTATACAGTACTTGACCTAGATAATGTCAGTGTGAGATACCAATTTCAGTGGTTCATCAGATCTTTCTGTTACTCAAGTTTAGACCAAATGACATTTTTCAAATTTGCCTGTTTTCCAAGTCTTTGTGCTCATTCCTTTGGTGTGGAACTTGTCTCAGCTAGTGGGAACACCTGGAAAGTCAGTGCTATTCGAGTACTTCCTGTGTGCCAGGCCCTGTGCTAGGGATGATCCCTGCCCTTGACAGGCTCATCACTAGCTGGTTGACAGCCTTTTCCCAAATACGGTTTTCTGTTTTTCCTCAGATTTTAATTTCCTTAATAAAAATGTGTATTTTAAATTCTGATTTGGGCCTTCTGAAAATTGTAGAAAATATCATTGACTTGCTGCACGTTTTCTGTTGTTTCATATGCAGTATCAGAGAGACCAGACCAAAGGATACACATGTCCAATTAGGAAGGATGACCACGGTACTGTGTGGTGCTCCTCCTTTTATAAGAGAGGACTATCTGCTTACCACCCTCCTGGAGCCCAGCATGTGTGCCAGGCACTGCTTGGCCCGTGTCTTGCTGAAGTTTCAGAGCCTGGGTATGAGGCTTCCTGCCCTCTGTCTGCACCTCCCTGGCCGATCTCCTGTGCTGCCCTTTGAGGTCCTTGTGGGAGCTGTTGCCCCACTTCAACCTTACATTGGAGCCATGTCATGCTACAAAAGCACGCTGCAGATTTTGTGGTGGACAGCTGGGCTTGACTGCCCTTTGAGAAGAGCCTGGTAGATGTGCACAGTAAGGAAAAGGAGATTTGGGGATCGTTTTTAATCATAAGTAGTAGTGCAGAAGAAAGAGCTGAGAGAGAGAGCACAGGCTGGGTTTTGAGTGAAACGCTGTTCCTACTGCTGGCTGCATTCACGCACCAGAAGCACATCTTTGAGGTGGAGAGCCCTGGCTGCTCTGGCTGGGGGCCATCAGTATTCATGCCTGGAAAGGATCTCTTCCTGTTACAGCCTCCCTGGCATCCTGGGCTTCAGAAGACTCAAGTCACAAGTCTCATTCTGGGAGAACGCGGGCTTGAAGCTCTCATGTGCCATCTCCAGCAGCTCTCGGGGCCTGGTCACGGTTCCTGCAGACCCCTCTGCTGTGTTCCTCCTAGCACTTCGCCCTGCCACATGGGTACCTGGTTTGTTAAGCACCACCTTCCTTTACAAAAGAAAAGCTCTCTAACTCCACTGTCTGCACTGGAAGGATACAGCTTGGGAGCTTCAGCTGGTTATGCACTGCAGAAGGGCAGCTGGGATAGCCTTTGAGAAATGGCCATGAAGACCAAGAGTAGCAGAACGCTACAGCTTGAACAGCTCTCTTAAGCCTGGGTCTGTGAGCTCTCTGATGGAACTCGGGAGCCATGGAGCCTATGGCTCTGCTTAAGGCAGCACTGGGACTGCACTTGGAGAGCTCAGCTCTGGATCACCCTCTCTGAGGCAGCAGCTTTTCCTGAAGCCTGTGAGCCCACATTGTCTAAGCCCACAAAGAAACATAGCTGGATTTGTCCTCTGCAGCTTCTGGCTGGCCTAAACTGAGGGGCACCCTTCCTGGACCTGCTTCCTGCATGACACTGCACCGTGGTACCCTGGGATCTTCTCTGAGAACCACACCCATCCATAGGGGTCCTTCCCAGAGCTCCTGAGTCAGCCTCGAGACCAAGACATCTCGCCCATCTCCTCCTCCAGCTCCTGCTTGGAGGCCTTGCTTCCACTGTACAGCAAGCCCAGGACTTAGAAGTCCTGACTGTGGGGACCAGAGACTAAACCCCTCCATGGGTGTGCTCCTGCTCTGTGCCTCGGTTTTCTGTGGATGTGTTTCCCTGTCCTGTGGCCAGAGAGCTCAGAGCAGCCTGCTTAGAGTGGTGTCCAGGTTGGGCCCACAGTGCTCTCAAAGACTGAACCATTTTTAAGTTGGTTGTATTTTCCATTAACATGGGGTTTAACCCTCCATTCCACCTCAATAATTATTAACTAGCAGATGAGCACCCTTGATAACATCTGTGAGCTGCGATACGTGTTTTAATGTTGACTCAAGGTTGAACTTTGGGCTGCTTGCCTTGAGATGGCAAAATTGTCTTCTAAGACTACACTTTTCCATCCTTCCCTGTCAATTGTGAGTGGAGCCTGACTCCCCTGGCTGAGGATGCTGGGAACTGGATTCCAGAGCACACCCCACCCTGGAGTTCTCTTCTTCCCGACTAGCTGAGAGCCAGACTGACCCTGGGGACAGCAGTGACAGGTTTCATTATGTTAACCCCTTGGTCTTAGTTTTCCGTTCACCTGCAGTTGAGCTCATCTCTCAGCACAAGTTACCCAGGCAAGTTTGAAGTTGTGCAAGTGATGCCCTGGCCCCTCTCCCAGCCAATCTAGCCAACGCCTAGGGCTGGACCCTTTGGTCCTGTCTTTTAAAGCCCCCAGATGATGCTAATGTCCAGCCAGGATGGCAAGAGTGCTTTGCTCCTTCTGTGATGCCTCGTCTGTGTCTGCCCTGCCTGGCCTCTGGAGGCCAGTCCTGACATTTCTCTTTCAGAGTAAAAGGCTCAGACAGGAAGACTTGCTAAGAGATGGTGGAGAGAGCGGAGCGACGTGAGACAAGGGTCAAAGTCTTGCAAGGCACAGGCTTCCCGCCCCTCCACCCTCTGACCACCGGTTAGTTGGTCTTGGTGTCAGCCTCTGGGGTGGATGTGGAGGGAACGGAGCCCCCAGCTGTGCTCTGGCCTACAGGTATGTTCTGTTTAGCCTGCTCTGGTTACGCGGGGCAGTTTTCTGTGAGTGCGCTCTCTGAGATCCCTTGGAGGTATAGGAAACAGGGCATGTCGAGGTGTGGGTTCAATTTTTTGACTGGGTTACCCCATTCTTGAGAGAGATGACTGATAAGGGATATCACAACTTTTCCTCAGGCTTCTGACTAAGGTCTCGATCTAACAGGGTTTGCTATTCGTGGTTCAATGCCCACACTCTGTTTTGATTTTACTGTGCAACCAACCCAGGGCCATCTCTTCTCCTTTGGTTCTGAGCTCTGGGAAAATAAGATGAAATAATTGTAAGGTTGTGTGTGCTGAGGTTGCAAGAGGTGAACGGCTCTAGAACAGTGTGGAAAGCAGGAGCTCGGCAGGAGGGTCGGCATGGAGGCCACATCTGGAGTGGACCCTGGCACATTTGGGTTCTCCCCGTGTGTGCTGGCTGAGATGGAGTGGGTGCCCCTTGGAGGGTGTGTCGGAGGGAGCCTCGAACCCATTCCGGATCTCAGGCAGAAGGGGAAGGAAGGGCCCCTCCTCCCCGCCCACCCTCGCCTTGAGTGCGGCTGAAGAACAGGATGGCAGTGCCTTGGTGGTTTGTAAACACTTAATTTCTTAGGAATATTTACGACATTTGAGGTTGTATGCACAGGGGAACAGATGCCTTTAGATGCCTTTGACAAATTCCTCTTTCATTTCTACTTCAAAGAAAGGTTAAGGCATGAATTACTCAACCGGGCACCTGCATGCTCCTTGTCCTCAGGGTGCCTTCGAGGCGCAGGTCCCATGGCCTGTGGGTGGGCGGATGAGATGGTCACCACCCAGCCGGCACAGGTGCAGGGTCCTTGACAGGCAGGTGAGATTCAGTGCATCCCAGAGAGGGCCCCTCCGCAGCCTGCTGAGCGGCTCCTGCCTGGCGGGGCAGTGCGCGCACTGAGGTTGATGCTGGGAGGGGGCTCCCGCCCTCACCTCTGCCAGGGTGCAGCCAGGCCAGCAAGTCTGTGCTGGCAGGGCGGGGAAGGCTGCAGGAGACAGGAGGGACTGTGGTGGGGCTCGGGGTCGAGTCGCCCAGTGAGGTACCTTGGAACAGAAGCAGCTGGGAGGGAGGGCAGGCAGAGGGCGTGGGCGCTGCAGGGTCAGAGCGGTGTGTCCTGGGTGCCACCTGCCTGCGTGACATCTCTGCCTCCCTCAGTTGCTCTCCGTCCTGGCCTGCAGCTGGGCCAGTCAAGCCTGTGGTGGTGGGGGCCGATTGGCAGGGAGCATCAGGCTTGTCTCTAGGGAAAGGCTGGGTGTGACCTGGGCCACCCACGAGGGTATCGCAGGCCGAGGTGCAGGGCGGTTCGTATTTACACTCTTCCTCTGGGCTCCTCCAGAGGCGGGCCTGATTGCAGACTGCTGGTCCGTGGCATCTGGGCCCACAGCACCCTTCCCAGAGCCTCGACGGGGCGGCTCCTCAGCACCTGCTGAAGTTCCTTCCCAGAGGGAGCAGGAGCCACGCTCGAGTTGAGGTCAAGTGCAAAGCCAGCGGCATCCTCTCCGCTCCAGCTCGGTGGGGCCGTGGGCCTGGGCCCGCACCCACCTGGGCCGTGGTGGCCCCATCAGCTCCAAGCCTTGTCCAGGGCCTCACTCTAGCACTTTGGGGCTGGGGTCTGTGCCAGGCTCCCTCTTGCGCTTGGCACTTTTAAAGAAGCCCAGCTGTAGGAGGCAGGGGGGAGTCTCAGGGGTGTGTGGCGTGGACAGGCCACCTCCCCAGAGTGTCCCTGCACACCCGTGACTCCTCCCCGGGGCTGTCACAGACGGACCAGGGCTCCCAATCTCAGACCAGAGACAGGGAAGGGCTTTGGTGGGTGACCTGCCTGACCTTGCTGGAATTTTGGGCAGATGGGAATGGAAGGAGAGGCAAGAGAAAAGGAGAGCGAAGGAAGGCAGGGGAAGCTGATGGGGGTGGAAGGGAAGAGCAAGGGAGAGCGGGGAAGGCAAGGAATAGAAAGGGAGTGGAGGGGAAGGGGAGAGGGAGACGCGAAGCGGGGAGGAGCAGGAAGAGGAGAGCAAGGGAGGGGAGGCAGGAGAAGCCCTGTTTAGGGCTCTCAGAGGGCTGGGTCTCGGTGGGGTGCCCTCACCCATCTGCCGGTTCAGCGAGGCCCGGGTGGGTGCAGGCTGCCAAGGACAGGAGGGCACGCTGTCCCCTCGGGCCTCACCTTCCACAGAGCCAGGACCAGCAGGGCGAGCAGCAGGAGGCCGCCCAGCGTGCTGCCCAGGACGATCCAGATGGGGACCTGCGAGTCTTCCTGCTTGGAGATGCCGAAGGTGACCTGCAGGGAGGGGCCGGGCTGGCAGTGTGCTCTCCTGGGCTGGACTGCACAGGAGCTGGGAGCCTGCCGCTTCCTCAGGGAGGTGCCGGGCCAGTGCCCCCCGAGCCGGGTGAGGCCGGCCACCGACCGCCTCAGCCTGGCCCCCGTTTCCAGCCCCCACTCCGTGTACGGCTACCCCCTCTCTTCCTTGCTGCTTCCTCCCCAGTTCTCAGAGGTCCCAGTGTTGGCTTGACACGTGCTGTCCCCAGCCGTCTCCTGCCCTGGGGACTCGCCTCATATGGGGATGGCAGGCTGGCACCTGGGCCTGTAGCATTCTCAGGGGCCCAGGAAACTTCGTTGCTTTTAAAATTAGAAGAAATAATGAAGGTAATCCAGCCTGCCTTGTACAGTGGACCCTTGGCTTATGAACTCAGTTTGTTCGCCAGGGCTGGTTGTAACTCATGTTGGTCAGTTGGAGGCTCAGGGTTCTCTACACAGCCTTCAGAGTCTCTCTCCTATACACGGGCAGATCTGTGTCCACAGAGAGACATCAGCCCAGGATTTCTTAATCCCAAACAGGAAAGGATGTTGTAATGTTCCTTCAGAACTCTTTAAGGCTTAAATCTGTATCTGAGACCATCTGGAAGCACAAGCAGCGGCATTTAGGTTGTAACTCAAGGCTTGGTCGTAAGTTAAAACTAAAAGTCCAGTCATAACCCAAGTTGTTCATATGTCAGGCTGGTTGTAACTGGAGGGTTCACTGTATTCCTGTTTATATCATCACAGTTGCAAAATAAAATGTTTAGTGCTTCTTCCAGGTGGAGGAAGGGGTTCCAAAGGCAAGAGAAGTTGGGGCCGTGGAAGTCTCAGAGCAGCCTCGGTGAACTCACCCTGTCCCGTGGCTGTGACTGCCCAGTGCCCACACTCAGGTTTCTGCTGAGTCTGTGACCAGTGCGGTGTCTGGCCGGCCACCCGGTGCCCCATCTTCCCCCTGCCTCACTCCGGCTCAGGCTCCTCACTGTCGGACCCAGCGGGACCCAGCCGCCAAGCCCCCAGGACACCTGGCCACCTCTGGCTCTGAGCACCCTCGTGGCTCCCTGCTCCACCCGGCCATGCTTCCTGCGCAGCAGCCCTGGGGATGCTTGCAGAGTCCCCAGTCTTCCCCCGTCGTCCTCACTGACAGGGAGTGGTGTCCGGGCTGTGCAGCCTACCTCCCTGCTCCCCAGACGCTGTCTTCCCCCTGGCCTCTGTCTGGTGTCGTTTTAGGGAGAGGCTTCCCCACTTCCCTTGTAACTGCTGACTGCCCTTCTGCATGTTTTGGGAGCCTGTCTCCCCTCCACATTCATTCTAATATTCTCCCTTGTGTACCTTTGTGTCCCTGCAGATGGGGACCTTGCTGTGCCTGCCCTGCACATCTCTCACAGCCCAGGGCAAGGGGGCTGCATCTGGGGGTGCTCTTCACAAGTGAAATGAGGCCAGAGAGCATGAGGACACGGGTGGGGGCTGGAGTAGGAGAGAGACGTCACCTAACAGAACCCTGCTGTGGAGAGAGGGTGGTCGGGGGTGGGGGGCGCATCTCGGTAGCCCCTGTGCTGGGCCCTTGCTGCCCTGCCTGGGGTCCATCCGCACTGCTCCCTGCTGTCCTGCGCTGGCTTCCTGTTTCTGGGATGCGGCCACTGGAGGGCAGCAGAATCCCACATCTGCCTTTATCGCAGAGGCTGCAAAGCTCTGCCAGCCCAGATCCCGGCCAGTGCTGCGTGGACATCAGTGCTTGGGCGCTGGGTCGGGAGGATGGGCTTGTGGGGCTGCTCTGTCACGCTCAGCGCCCCTTGGCTTGGGGGGCGTTGTTGAGGCTGAACAGTTAGGGGCCACTGATGGGACAAAAAGCTGGGCCTAGTCTCACCTTTCCCTTGCCTGCCCCTTCTGTCTCGGGGAGGGATCTCGGGGCTCACCTGGCGGCTAGGGTCCACCTCTCGGAAGATGAAGGGGCTGTGGAACTGCCTCTGCAGGGCCGCGTTCACCGTGATCTTCAGGGACCTGAACTTGAGCTGGAGGAGCAAGGCCCGGTGGGAAGCTGGCTCCTAGGGAGGCGCCCTGCAGCCACCCTCCCTGCCAGCCATTGGCCCACCCACCCGGGCCGCACTTACTGCCTTCAGGGACCTCAGCCACAGGTTCCCCAGCAGGTGGAAGTTGACCTCCTGGTTGGGGTCCAGCTTCACATTGCAGTTGATGGAGACCACGTCAGAGTTGCTGTGATTCTGAGAGGGAAGAAGGGCTGCGGTGAGTGGGGGACACAGCCAAGGGGCTGTGACCTGGAGCGGCCTGGTGCTTTGCCTAAGCTCTGGGGAGGGACGTGGGGTGGGGTGACAGGAGATCGGGGTGGCTAGGAGCCTCATTGATGCTCCTTGACCTTGTGCACAGGGCCCAGAATGGGTGAATTACAGGGGCAGAAGTCTGAAGTTTGGTTTATCATTAAGGAATCTATAAACATCATTATTACCCTGTGACTAAATCAAAATGAAACGCGAGATGGCATGATGGGCCACGCCTATAAGCCCAACACTTGGGAGGCTGAGGCAGGAGGATGGCTTCAAGTTCTCAGCCTGGGCTACATAGTGAGTTCAGGACCAGCCTGAATTGCATGACAAGACCATGTCTCGAAAAATTTTTTAAAAAAATTAAAGGAAAAATGATACAATCACTGCAACAGATGCAGTAAGAGTATTATAGGAAATTCAGCTTCTGTTCATGATATTCAGCTGGGGAACTTCCTGCATCTGATTAAAGGGAGTGTGGCTGTCTGTATGTGACAGCAACTATCATGCTCCCTTAAAATCAGGGCCAAGGCAGTTCTGATCATCCGGTCATTCTATTTCTGCAGCCTAGGAGGCTCTGGCCAGAGGAATGTGGCAGGAGAAGCAATTTATAAGGACTGAATGGAAGGGCTGGAGATTTAGCTCAGTGGTTCCACCGCTTGCCTCAAAAGTGCAGGGTCCCGAGTTTGATCAGTGGTACAAAAAAAAAAAAAGGGACTGAATAGAAAACCCAAACAAACCTCCCAGCAATCAGAATTTCCAAAGGTCAGGCTATTGGTGTGGCTGGCTTGCTGCCCCACCCCAAAGTGCAGTACACTGAAAAAGGGCTCTGTGTGAGGCCCTGGTTTGGGAAGAGAAAGCTGAAGTGTCCAGATGTTTGCCTGGGTGAGGAGTCTCAGGCATAGGCTGAGAAACTGGTACCTGCAGCGTCAGGCGACCCTGGCAGGGCGACCCGGAGCCAGCAGATGCCTTAGTGGGGTCTCAGGCTGGAGGTGGGGTGTGGGCTCTGCTGGCTCTGCCCCTTCTCTGCTCCCTGGTCTTGCTGACCCTATCAGCCAGGTGCGAGGCCTGGTGCTGTGTCTGTCTCCCCTCTCCTGTGAGGTGATTCCTCTTTCTTCCTCCATCCAGGTTAGGCACGTGGAGGTGTGAGGAAATGCTCCTGCTCTCGAATGCACACACTTTCTCTGTGTCTTTTTAAGACAGGGGCTCCCTGTTTGCCCAGGCTGGTCTGGAAATCAGTGCCCTACAGCAATCCTCCTGCCTCAGCCTCCTGAGTAGCTGGGACTACAGGTATGTGACTGCACCCACCTCAATAGAGTGTTTTTGACAAACTCTTGGCTGGGAGAGAAATGGGCCCCTGCAGCGGGCAGTACCCCTCTCACCCTGTCCTCTGGCTCTTGGTCTGGGAGCACTTACCAGCTGTAGGAGCTGACTCAGGTCCTCCTCCATGGGGGTGGGCCGGTACTCGGTGGTGTTGCCCCAGATGTTACAGGATGAGTTCGCCTGCGTGGGAGACACAGACTGGTCCTCGGCCTCCTGGATGTCTGTCTCTGCCTCTGCCCTGGCCCTGGAGGAGGGATGAGTCTGGGGACCTGGGGACCCCACCCCTGCTGGCCTCGGGAGCTTGGTACCTGGTCGGTGAGGAAGTCCCTCAGCACTAGCAGGCGGTTGCCGCCCCTGGTGGCGACGGGGACAGTGATCTTCATCGTCACTCCGTGGATGGGGAAGAAGCCCAGGTTCTGGATCTGCGCCCGCCGAAGAGAAGAGCGGGTAGGTGCGGTCAGCGAAGAGGGGGCTGGGGGAGTGGGCCACGGCGGCCCCTTGGGCCCAGCATCCTCACGACAGCCGCTGCAAAGCTGCCGCATCCGGGTCCCAGCCAGGCTGAGTGGACGTCAGTGCTGGGGCACTGGGCCCTGTCACGTTCAGTGCCCCTGAGTCTGGGGGCCTTGCTGAGGCCGAGACAGGGGCAGATGACCCTCACACGTGTGCACAGAGTGATTTGCACACATGAATCCAGCCCCGCTCTTCTGGGACAAAGCCTGCTTGTCACCATGTGTGAGCTCTGACCATCTGCTGCACCTGCTTGCCAGTACCTTTTTGAGGATTTTTGCATCTATGTTCATTAAAGAGATTGGCCTGTCGAGAGGTGGGCCTTCTATCTAAATCCATGAAAAAAGAATCTTTTGGAACCAAGCCCATGGGATTACGAGACTTGAGGGCCCCCAGAAAGTCACTGAACACCTGCTGCTCTGTTTCCTTTCTTGGACAATTGCTCCCTCCCTCAGCCCAAGCCCAGATTCAGCCACAGCCTCTCTTGCCCCTTCCTGCCGCCCCTTAAAGCTCTGCCTGTGCTTACAATATGTGGTCCGGTCTTGTTTCTACCACCTCGGTCCGAAGAGCCCACTGGGTAATATGAAGGCTGGGCGTGGAGAAGCGACTGCCACTGAGGTGGTGATGACATTGACCGGGGAGGGGCGCAGACAGCGAGGGTCCGGAGTGCCTGCTCCGACAGTGGCACAATGCTCCTACACAAGCGGGGCTTTGGGCTGGTGCCATGCAAAGCTGTGTGGCCTCGGGCAGGTTACCAGAGCTGTCTAGGACAGGGCATGCAGCCCCGCTCCCCTACAGCCGTGGATGGATAAACACAGGCCAGGCTGAGGGTGGTCTCTGCACAGAGTTTGCTAAGTTGCCCTTTTGCCTGAAGGGTAGAACCAAGACAAAAAGAGCCCACCCCACTTCTGAGCCTCCCTTACAGATAAAGCACAAGGCTTTGGACGATGAGAGGTAGCTGGAAGTATGAGGGATTGCCAGGGAGTAGGGAGAGGGCCTGCTGCTTGGAATCAGAATGTGATGGCTGGAGCTGCAGCCACCTGGAGGTGTGAGGTGAGCTTGAGGCTGAGGGCAGTGGGACAAAAGGCCTCCTGGATGATTTGGGAAACTGTCAACTCTGGACTTCTTTAATGGGGGAGTGCCTGCTGTTTACATCATTGTGTTTTACTATTTAAAAAATTTGAGGCAGGCACCCCTAATCTTCTCTGGTACACCCCTCAGTCCTGCCTCGTTCTTTGTGATGACCAAGAACTGGAGAGGGGAAGAAACTTGCCAGAAGTCGCTCAGTGAACACATGGCAAAGCTGAAGCCAGACTCTAGCCATAGGGGATGATTTCTGAGTCCTCCCCGCTGTAGGGTCCTCGGCCCCAGCCTCCACCTGGCCACCCCTGAGCCATACCTTGAAGACGCAGCTGAAGGGAGGCCCGAAGCCGTCGTACCTCTCCAGGGAGCTGTTGGCCTTGACCTCGTAGTGGCTCAGGCTGCTGCCCCTGTGGACAGGAAGGACAGCGTGGCACAAAGCACTGTCACTGTCGGCTGGACAGAGAGCTGAAGGAGGGGTGCGGGGTCTGCCTCCCCAGACCACAGGGACCAGGGCTCCTTGGTCCTGGATCCTGGGGTCCAGCGAGGACCGGGTTGCCGTCAGCCCGCATCTGCTGCATAGGGTGATGAGAGTCACGGAGCCAGCTACCAGCCTCTTTGCCCACCCACTGTGCCAGCCTAGCCTCTGGGTGGCCTTGGGGGTCTTGCCCTGCCACCCTGTGTCCTGGGCAGTCCCCATCAGCCCGTGAGGGAGGCGCGTGACTTTGTAGTGGACGAGTTGTGTCCCAGCGACGTTTTAGAACTGGTGCAAATGGTGACACACGGCACGTGGACATTTTGCAGATTTGTTGAGACGGGGTTTTGCTCTGCAGCCCAGGCTGGCCTTGAACTAGCAGAGATCCTCCTGCCTCAGCTTCCCGAACTCTGGGATTACAGGTGTGTGTGCCACCACTCCCAGTTTTGTAGCGCTTTTAAGTCCTATTTTAAAATTCTCTTACTATTTTAAAACCCTCTTATTGCCTATACTGGGGTGCTGTACCTCCCACTGGTCCCTGCCCATGCCAGGAGCTTGGGCCTGGGTCTCTCCTCCCCCAGGGGGTGGGGGCTGCACTCTGACCCCTGGGGAACACACCCAGCACCCCTCAGTGCCTGCACTGCACCTAGTCTCCTCCCCACCGACCTCCCTCACTGGTGCCCACCTGGTGAAGAGGACGTCTGCCTCGTACTTGAGGTGGAAGCGCAGAAGGGCCGTGTTGTCCTCCTTCGTGCTGTCCTGCTCGTCACTGTCACTGTGGGGACACAGGCTCAGGAAGGGGCCCTCCCTGCCTCCCCCAGCTCCCCTGCACATCCTGGCTGCTCGAAGCACAGGAGGGACCTGAAGCAGCGGGAGGGAGCGGCGGCTGGCTTAGGGCAGGGAGGGCGACACCCGCGTCTGCCAGTAGCCACTTGCTGTGTCCCAGGATGACGGGGTCCTTGCTGCCGCCTGCCCTGGGGAGGGACAGCAGGGTGCGCCTCTGCCCCTGACTGGCTGCTGTGACTCCGGCTGCTGTCCCCAGGGTGCGGAAGGTGGCGAGGGGGCCTCCGGGCCGCCCAGCAGCGTGTGGTCCTAGTCACTGTGACTCCCCAGGGCGGGAGCTCGTGTGGGCGAGGTGGGACCCTCCGTCTCTGCTTCTCCCCCACCCTGGGCTTTCCCGGCTTTGACGCTGAGCCCTGAGAGGTGTTCAGTGAGGAAGGGGGTCCCTGAACCACAGACACCCAGACTAGGCCGTGCAGGCGAGTGGGGTTGTGCTTTTGGGGGGCAGGAGGGCCGGGAGCCACAGAAGTGTGCACCGGCCACAGGGAGGCTTGGGGTCCCTACCCCTGGGACCCCTGCCGTGTGGGCAGGGAGTATGGTGTGTGGTGTGCTTGTAGCATCTGTCTCAGCCGAGGATCCTGGCCGTTTCTGAGCTCCAGAGCAGACAGGGCCCCCATGCCCCACAGGAGGGATTGTGTGTGAAAGGAAGTACGTTTGCTCCCGCAAGGAAAGGCCTGGTGGGGACAACTCAGCAACCACCTCCACGAGGCCTGGGGCCCGATGGCCCGCGTGCAGTGGGATGGTCTCTTAATGGAAGCATTTCCAGGGAGAGGGAGGGTAACCAAAGCTCAGCTCCCAGTTGGACCAGTTACATGCTGTGTGTGGCTGGGAAATTCACTCAGCCACTCCGAGCCTTATCTTACCTGTCACTCGGAGGGTGGTGTGGGCATAGCCCTTGCTTTGCTGAGTTTTGGTTTTTGTTTGTTTTTTGAGACAGTCTCACTATGCAGTCCAGGCTGGCCTCAGCCTCTGAGTGCTGGGATTACAGGTGTGCGCCACCACGCCCGGCTTTGCTGGTCTCTAGAGCTGGCTGTGAGGACTGCTGGGCACCTACACAGGGCTCTCAGGCTCCCCAGTGCACTGCCACATAGGAGGGATGCGCATCGCTGCTAATATCCCACTTTGCCTGGCCTGGGCCCCCAGCTGGGGCCGGAGACAGAGCTCGGAGCAGGTGGGGGAGGCGGGAGGGCTGAGCCTACCTGCCGGAGCTGAGCTGGATCTCCAGGTGGTGCAGAAAGACAGACTTGCTGAATTCGAAGTCCAGCCGGAAAGCTACCTGCAGGAAGGGCACAGAGGGCCTGTCCTATGGCCCGGCCTGTGACCCTCACCCAAGGTCATGGGAGAGAGAGACAGGGTCTTCCTATGTGGTTCAGGTTGGCCTTGAACTCACAGAAGTTCTCCTGCCTCAGTCTCCCGAGAGCTGGGATTACAGGTGTAAACCACTCTCCACTACCTTCCCTTGTTTTTAATAAGTCAGCTAGAAGGCAGCCGAGCTGGAGTCCTGGCAGGACTTTTAGGGTATAGGGGAGCTTATGGTGTAGGATGGGGGAATCACCACCCACTACAGGGGTCATAGCCACCTGCAGGTTCACGGGGCCCTGGCTCCCTCATCCTGCAGCCCAATGCCACACTGCTGGCCTGGTCATGGGGAGAGGCCCTGACCCGGCCATGCCTGACCCCTCACCTCCTGCCGCCGTACTTGGGCATCATGATGGGTGCTGTGCCAGCCCTTCTGCCCCCCAAGTAGCCGGGAGTCATCTCCCAGGTGTTTAGGGGCCGGGGGTGTTGTGTGGCCGCTCACTCCGGATTCCAGGAACCCTGGACTTAGGTCTCATGGGGAAGCTCTAACAAGGAGCCCCAGCCCACACGCCCTTCTCCTGGGAACACCGCCGCCATCTGGGCTGCGCCCCTCAGCTCCCCTCCCTCTGCTTCCCATCTACAAGCAGCTTGGCCTCAGGTCTGCTCTGGGGCCCTCTGTGGCTGCCCAGTGCCCAGGGCTGATGACCGGACGCTCTCCCGTCTGCGTCCTGCCGGCCTCGGTTACTCCCAGCCTCCTCCCCATGGTGTCAGGGGCCCAGGCGCGGTGACAGAGGCTGCCAGTGTGAAGCCTGGGAGGGTAGGGGGAGCAGGACCAGCCCGGGCCTGGGGCGCGGGATGTAGGGAGCCTCATATCAGGGCCCTTTTGCCTCCTGCCCTGCGCCCCGTCGCCTGCCCACTGTCCTCCAACCTTGGCCTTGGCCCTGAAGAAAGGGTAGCTGACGTTGCAGACTTTCTTGTGCAGCCTCCGTTCCTCGTTCACGCACTCGATGCTGCTGTCCGAGTCATCCTGGGTGGGCAAGGGCAGCAGGCCAGCAGTGAGGTGGGGCCACCGCAGTGCCACCTCACTGCCCACTGACCCCAACCCGAGGGTCACTGCCTGTCGCCCACTGCCTGTGTGAACCCTGGCAATGGCCTCCTGGGACTGTAGAGGCCCCAGAGGCCGAGTGGCTGATACCAGGGTGGGTTTACCCTTGGCAAGGCGGGCGAAGAGGGGCAGGTGCCCAGGGCCTGTGCTGCCATCCTTCTGACTGTGCCTTACGGGTGGACGGCAGCCCAGAGGGGAGTCCCTGGCTCAGATCGCAGGACAGTGGCGCGGGGTGGGAGGTGGGGAAACTCAAGGCCCACTCGGGGCCTGTGCTCTGTCCACCTGGAGTGTGAAGGCCACTGTCCCGGCCCTGGCTTCCTGCCTCCCCCTGCCTCCATGTCAGGCTGAGAAAGTATCTCCTGACACTGTGACATGCAGTTGTGTGGTCTCAAGTGACTGTAACTCAGAAAAACACTAAGCAGCCGTGGGCTGATCCCTTGGCCAGGCAGTGGGCATTTCCTGGGACTCCATGTCTCCCCTCTCCAGGGAAACTGTCCCTGGGCTTGGTGGCTCCTGCTGCCACCACAGGGGCAGGCACTGGGGCTAAGGACCCTGCTGGGCTGGCTCGGTGCCCTGGCCACAGGGACGGAGGGTGAGGGTGCCACACAGCGCCAGGCTTTCGGGGCTGCTTGCTCACTGGTGCCCCACGAAGGAGACAGCCAGGCTGAGTGCCCCCATGTGTCCCAGGTCATGCGGCCCCTGGGCAGGAGCAGCTCTGAGAGACAGCGACAGCCACTCTGTCACCCAGGTGTTGTCGGGCCACTGCCACAGCTAGGCTCATGCTGGGGGACACTGAGAGCCCAGCTGAGGACACGGAGCCCAGTGAGGAGGCAGGGCCAGGCCCGCGGCCCACACCCTGCTCAGCCTCCCCTCCGGGCTCCTCCCGGCTAGTGTGGTCTCAAGGAGGGCAGCAGAGGTGCGGACAGCAGGCCTGATGCCTTCACTCCTGACACAGGGCTCCACGAGGACAGAGACCGGTGAGGACGAGGCTGCACTTGGGGCCCTAGGCCCCAGCATGCACGCTAAACAGGGATGCCAGGTCCCCTGAACAGACAGGTCAGGCCCCTGAGATGGGCACGCCCTGCGGGCCGGTACGGGGTTCCCTGCTGCCGTACTCACAGCAGAGTGCAGGAGGCCGTGCCACAGAACTGTGGGACCAGTGGCGGTCCTCTTCCGCCCTGTGGGCTTCGGGAAGGACACCAGAGAGGTGGCACGGGGACTGCGCTCTGTCCCACAGCACAGCTCTGGGGTCAGCTGCCGGGCAGCTGGGCAGCACACGCTGCCACTTATGTGCTCTGTGCAGGCCAGAGAGGCTCTCCCCCGCCTCAGTTTCCCTCTCTTTAAGATGGGGGCCCCCACTGCCTCCTGAGCTGTTGGCACAGGCTGTGCGTGGCTGGCCCCGCAGCCGAGCCTGGCAGAGCTGAGGGGGGAGAGGAGGTGGCAGCCAAACGGAGCCCGGAACGAAGTCGGGACAGGAGCAAGGGGAGGGCCGACCGCACATCCGGTCCCCGCTGAAGGGCGCAGCAGGGCGGCCCGGCCTCACCTTCTGGATCAGGCTGGCGAACTGCAGGTTGGGGGACTGCGAGATGTTCAGCACCGCACTGTAGGCGTTCTCGCCCCTGTTCTCCAGCGTGGCCTCCACTGCCACTCGCCGCCGCGTGCTCTCTACGATGAAAACGGTGGTGTCAAAGGACAGCGTGTAGGCCGAGCAGTCCTGCGCGGGCTTCCTCAGCGCCCTCTGGCAGTACTCCCTGTGGGGCAAGACCGAGGGCGTCAGGCAGGGCTGCAGAGGCTGCGCCGGGGCTTGGTGCAGGGAGTGTTGGGGGCACAGCTGCCCGGAGAAGGGGCTGGGCGGCAGCCCCGCCAAGCGCTCACTGTTCAAGGCCACCTCCTGCTTTAAAGGCCCCTGGTCTTCTGACCTCACTAGTCACGGGCCATTTCTCTACTGCGTTTCCCTTCGGCCTTGACTGCTGGGAAGCTCAGAACTAAATGTAGAGACAATCTTGATGATCAGCCTGTATGATTAGAATATATATTTTTGTCTTTTCATAAGGTCTGGCTGTGCTATTTCTTTTCTTTTCAAGACAGGGGCTTGCTATGTTGTTCAGGCTGGCTTTGAACTCACAGTGTAGCCCAGGCTGTCCTTAACATTGAAGCGATCCTCCTGCCTCAGCCTCCTGCGTGCTGGGATCACAGGTGTGTCCCATCACACCTGGCTCCTCAGTATCTATCAGGATCAGAAAGTTCAGGAGTCCAGCTAGGGCCCTGGGAACCGCCTCCTCTGGGAGTTGCAGGATGGACGTCCAGAGCGCCGGGTCCCCTGCCTCCCCTCTCTACTCTGTAGTTTAGATTTCCTCTGCGAACACAGCTGTAAGAGCTGGGATCAGACTTGCGCTCATTTTAACACAGCAGGGAGCTAAGGCCAGCGAGGGATCACAGGAGCTGCCAGGTGGCCCGGAGGCCCGGCAGGGACGGGGACACTCACATGGCTGTGGGCAGGTCGCTCCGGGCATCCAGCACCAGGTCGGGGACACAGTGCTCATCCTCACTGCAGCCGTTCCAGAAGGGCACCTGGGCCAGGGAGAGCCAGGTGAGGGTGGTGGGAGGGGCCCTCTGCCCACAGCACAGTCCCAGGAATGACCCCCTGCTGCGGGGGCCAGGACAGAGGGTGAGGAGCACAGCTGCTGCCCTCCACGAACGGGCAGGTTTGCTGTGTGCACAAAGAGCTGTGTGGTGCATTGTGCACAAAACCAAAGCTGTAGAAATATAAGGAATAGGGGACAGAGAGGAGGGACTTAGGGGACCTGTAGGTGGCCAGAGAAGGCTTGGAGGAAGTGACAGTGGGCCACGCTCTGGAGGGTGACCGAGTGGTCAGTGGGGCAGGAGGTCCAGGAGGAAGGGACAAAACTCAAGTGTCCAGTGGCGGGCTCTTGGAGGGTGCCTGGATCAAGGGGTGCTGGACTCATCGGGTTCATCCCCTGAATGGTTCTGAGCTGGGTGTGCTGGTAGGAGGTTGGGCCTGGGTAGAGGTGGTCACTGGGCGTATGTCCTTGGAAAGGGGACCTCTTGTCCCTACCCCTCCCTTCTCTCTGCGTCCTGACTGCCGTGCTGCTTCTGCCCTGGAGCAGCTGACCATGGCCTGAACACACCGGAGCTGTAAGCCAAATAAACCTCTCCCCTTTAATTTGTGGTGTCAGGTGTTCTGTCTTAGTGACGGGAAAGTAACTGAGGACCTTGGGACAGGAGGTGGAAAGGTCTTTGGCCCTCTAGATCTGGGGCTTGGAGAGGTCAGGTGGGGTGGCGTGTGCCAGGGGTACAGGCCCTGCCTGCCAGGCCGTACCGAGACTCTGAGCGTGGTGGGCCAGCCATCGTCCAGCACAGGGCCGTGCTCAGGGTCCTCCAGGGAATACTCGACCGAAAAGGCCACCGGCTTCACATAGTCAGCAGTGTCCTGGGGCGGGGGCAGGGTGAGGGAAAGGAGAGAGAGGCGGCATCGTTACCTGGGTCAGGGCCACTGCAGCAGAACCCCCGCCTGCTGCATTGGGAGGGAGGGAGGGCGGGCGCATGG